ATGGATTGGAGTTTGTGGAAACTTTCCAATTCTGCTGTTTCTCCTTCCAATTGTCCATTGTAGCTTTTTGTTCAAGGATTGCAGTCCTGAGGTCAGAGATGGGATGCCTGGGAAGATTGAAGTGTTCTGCAATAGGCTTTTGTGTATTCCCTTTCCTAATATCTGATTTATGTCCGTTTATCCTCTGGTGTAGAGATTGCCCAGATTTCTTGCTCTAGGTGCTTCACGCAAGATTGAACACTCCCAGCTTTGAGGAAACCGTTGGTGATAAATAATGCAATGCAACACAATACAATAAAACAGCCACAGAACAGGACATAGAGGGAGATTTTAGAGACTCCGTAGGAACTCTGATTGCAAGCCCTGGATTTAGACCCAAATTTTTCCTATTACCAATAATTGGTGACTGCTTGACAAGGACAAGGACAGAGATACCAGGACAAGGATATGGGGAGGGATGCCCATGGCACAATGGGCCCCATTGCAGAACAGGCTCCGGAATTATTTTACAAAGCCCTTTTTAAAAACACACACACACCAGAAAATGCAGACAATTTTATGCAAAAATACTTGCATAAAATACATTGACATGGATCCCAATTGCTTTAGTAGGGACCAAAGTTCAGGACTTATTATGTGAAAATTCACACAAGGTTGCTTTGCTCTGAAAGCTAGCATTTTCTTCAGTGGAAACAGCATTTTTCTGCATGGAAAATAATGTTTCAATGAAGAAATATTAATTCCGGTACATAAAACACTGTTTTCTGTGCAGAAAATGTGGCAACAGGGGATTTACACATAGAGTCCCAAATGGCAAATAACCTTCAAAAATGGTGTGGTTTTTAAAGACTTTCTCATTTCAGGAAGAAAATGGCTGAAATGGGAGCCAGAGTGGTGTAGCGGTTTGAGTGTTGGACTATGACTTTGGAGACCAGAGTTTGAATCCACGCTGATCCATAGAAACCTACTGGGTGGCTTTGAACAAGTCACACTCTCTCAGCCTCAGAGGAAGGTCATGGCAAACCTCCTCTGAACAAATCTTGCCAAGAAAACCCCATGATAGGGTTAGGGTTTCCATAAGTCGGAAATGACTTGAAGGCACAAAAATGACAAATTTCACATTGGAACTGTGCTTTGCAGTTGTGCAGTTGTGGTTGCACATTACCCAATTGCACCCGGCCGGTTGTGCAGCATTGCTGTGCTGTTTGGGATTTGCATAGTCCTGCTGTAACATTTCTCATATAGTTGCACTACTCTGAGAAAGTGCTGGAAAGAGTTGCATCTCTTTGTGCCTGAAATACAATGCTTTGCCGTGCGTAGCTTGCCCCGGTGCGAAGGGTGAGATTTAAGTGACTTGAAGGTATACAACAACAACAACAAACCTTCAAGAAGAAACTTAGCTTCAACAACGCAAGAAGAATTGTACCCCTAGTTGTTTGGTTGGCAGCATTGCTTAAAGAGGTCTCCAGATGGACTTAGGTCCAAAACACACTGCAGAAATAATCCAGTTTGAGACCGCTTTAACTGCCCTGGCTCAATGCTAGGAAATTCTGGGGACTGTGGTTTTGTGAGATGTGGAGCCTTCTCTGTCAGAGAGCTCTGTTGCCACAAGACACTACAATTCCCAGGATTCCCTAGCACTGAGCCAGGGCAGTTAAAGCGGTCTCGAACCGGACTATTTCTGCAGTGTGTTTTGGACCTGAGTGGTGCTCCTGTGAGGCTGAGCTGCTGTGGGTCTTTTCGGCTTGAGCAAATGTGAGAGGAGCCAGGAGCCATTGCAACGCAGTCGTGCCAGCCCTCCCTGAAACCCAGCCCCAAAACGTGCCGCTGCTCAGCTAGCCTGGCTCAGAGTCAGAATGCATATTTAAGCATCCATTCCTTGGCACAGGATTTGGGACACCTTGAGTAAACAAAAATATATATTTCAGAGGGAGACAATGCCCGGTTGTATGGAACGAAAGACACTCACGCAGAGACGTTGAAAGGTCAGCGTCGGACAACTGGGTCTTTGATATTGCTTGGCTGCATTAAATACCTTGAGATTTGGGTCTGCCGATAACTTGGCCGCCTCCCAAATCACCAGTCAGTCGGATCCCGTGCGTCAACCATCGCCGTGTGTGATTTGTTTAGGAGAACCTGTCAGTGTCTGGCAGTTTTCCTGCAGCTGATGAAAGGCATTAAGGATGCCTGGGAGTTTTGAGAAGGTGATACAGCTGTAAAAGCAGCAAAGAGATCCTCGGAGCAAAGGCTGAACCCCTCAGAAGGAGATTGGCAGCTCCTGTGTAGACACAGAAAGACAGGCTGAAAAACCAGTGTGCATGTGTGTGTGTATTCAAAGGCATGCTTGTGCAAGTGCATGTGCTTGTGTTGATGCAAAGCCTTCCATTGCAATAAAGGAGGAGGAGAAGGAAATGGGTCTTTTGGAGCTAAACATCCTGACCACAACTTTGGTCAGAAACCTCTTGGTGTCATATAAGTACCCTTACGCATTGTAGCTATGCTGCTTTGGCCATTGCACAATGGGCATCTTCAGTTCACAGTTGTAGAAGCTGAGTTCTCCAAGTGTTAACTCATTCACATGCAGTTTCACAACACCGTAAGTTTGTGTGTTATCTTCAGAAGTGATACAACCAACGCCTTGCTCTTTTCTTTCTCTCCCTCCACAAACAAACGTCCACACTTCCATACCCCAGCCATTACTGTTTTACCTTGATCAATGCAAATAAACCCACAAAAATATCCCACCACCTTTGGGCCTTCAGATTTAATAAGACTGAAAATACAGTCATTTTGTACTGCTTCGGCCACCTGTTCTTCCATTTCCTCTCTCCACCTCCTTCTTTATCTCCCTTTCCTTGTGACCGATGGTGCTTAAAAGATGTTTCCCTTTCAATACATCCTAGAGGCATAGATATAGATACATATAGATAAAGGTATATATCTACATCTAGATAAACATTGGATGGAGGTTACAGGTGATCTTACCCAGGGTTACCCAGATGACCATTCTGCTCTTCCAACTGTTGTTGCTTTCCCCCAAAGTTCATATAAATCTGCAAAATTGTTTACATTTTGCAGTTGTGTTTGAAATATTCAGGGTATAAAGTGGTCCCATAGAACTTGAAAAGTGGTGCATGTGCAAACCACAATTCGGCAACTCTTTAAAAAATGATGGGGATGGCGGAAGAGATGCCATCAGCAAGAGTCTTCTTCATGCAGGGCTCTAATTTCTCTAGGCCAGTGATTCCCAAATTCTGATCCTCCAGCTGTTTTGGACTTCAGCTCCCAGAAGCCCCAGCCAGGTTGGCCCAACTGTCAGGAATTCTTGGAGCTGAAGTCCAAAACATCTGGAGGACCAAAGTTTGGGACCCTCTGCTCTAGGCCAACCCCTCCACCTCTATCCCCCTTGCACACATAACTGAGATGTACTGCCTGGCTGGAACTCACTTGGGGATTTTGTCTTTGGACATGGACCCATGTTTTCAAGGAAACAGAAGTGAGCAGCTTCACAATGTCTGCATTCAACAAGGGACTGCTTTGATGTTACTAAGGACTCAGAGCAGTGGATGCAAACTACAAGAAAAGAGATCCACCTCAACTTTAGGAAGAACTTCCTGATAGTAAGAGCTGTTCGACAGTGGAAGGTGCTGCCTTGGAGTGTATTGGAGTCTCTTTCTTTGGAGGACTTTAAACAGAGGATGGATGGCCATCTGTCACAGGGAGGGCTTGGATTGTGTCTTCCTGCATGGCAGGAGGGAGTTGGCTGGTTGGCCTTTGGGTTCTCTTCCAACTCTATGATTCTCTGATTCAACTATTCTACTGCTTAAGGAAGCCAGCAAAGTGATCAATGCACATTAGGATCAATGTACAACAAGACCAATGTGCAACAGGACCCAATGCGCATTGAGACTGATGCACATTGGGACACCATCTAGGGAGCACTGATGCACATCAGTAGAGCCTGATGTGAACAAGAGCATCCCATTATTCATCTTTGCAATTCACTAACAGAGTTCCTTAGCACTGCTTCTACATAAATGTGTAGGCATACAATTAAGCAACGTAGAGAACTCCACTCCCTAATTCTTGACTTGTTCGGTTTCACCATTGAGCTGTGCAAAAATCTTATCTGCTCTCAGCTGGCTCTTTCCCCATTGGCTCAGAGAATTTGCACCAGGGATAAATCTCACGCTTTTGGTGCAGCTGCACGGAAGCCAGGATGCCCTACGAATCTCTGTCCTTGCTTATACCCTCACTTGCTCCACTAGCCTGTATAAAATTGATGTCTCCCCTGCAGGATACAAGGAAATAGGAATATCATTTCTGTGAGTGGTATGGATTTGAGAATCATAAAGTGGAACGGAGTGCTCTCGCATATGTGCCGAAATCCAAAGGGCAGACGCATGCACTCAGATGTCCTCTACCCTTGCTGGCAGGAAGGATTAATCTATTTATGAATCATGCTAAAAGGCCTCTGCTAACACTGTATTTTAATGTTACTGTACGCGGCATCATAAAGGCTTTGCTGAATTCATGGCAATTATATCTTGAACACAAGGAGATA